GAACTTGTTAGAAATGCACGCCAGCCCTGGAACATCAAAGGAGGGTGGAGCCCAGCAATCTGCCGCTCGGCAAGCCCTCCAGCCGAGTCCGCTGCACCTCAGAGTTTGAGGACCTCTACTGCAGAGACTCGGACATTCCTGGAACAATTGAAAGTGGAAACAATGCCCACTTGATTGCTGGGGGTGAACACGGTGTACACCTCTGCAGAGCTCTGGTCAGCCCAAGACGGAGCCTGGGCTGGGTCCATCTCCCCAGAGTCCAAATCTATGTCTCCTTTCCCTCTGGCTGACTGGGTGGGGCAGGGACAAAGCCACGACCAGCATGTTCTCAGGGGAAGAGAGAGAAGGAAGGGTCTGGCTCAGGTAACCAATCCTAGTACCTGGAGTGGGAAAAAGAGGCGGCTGGCTGACATCCCTGAGGGCAGGCTCCTAAAGCAGGAAACAGGAGGAAGAGCCAAAGGAAGACACTGACTTAACAGAGAAGGCCTGCCCCCTCGTGAATACGGTTTAATCAGTGTCCTGAGGCTTCGACGATGATAGTGTCCGCTGCCCTTAGACACCCAGGCAGAGAGGAGGAGGGGGGACAGAAGCATGCCTCATCCCCAGGGTCAACCCCTGAGCTCCTAAATTGGTTTAAGACTTTTCTACCTGCTCCTGCTGAGTAGGTTAAGCTGACGCCTCCCCCTTCCCGAGCTCGGGACCCCAGCCCCACGGCCTGCCCTCCCCCAGGCTGAATAAGCAGGCTGCTCTGGTCTTTGCTGCAGAGTTCCTGTTCCCAGCTTCCCACTGCCACCTTCCTCTCTGAGGCCTGAGGCTCCATGTCAGTCTTTCGTGCCAGTCCTTTTCCAGGGGCCTGAGGCCTGACATGATCTCTTATCAAGTATTACTTTCATAACCAGGAAAGAACCTACTGTGTTGAGATTTTAAACACTGAATAACCACCTCCTGGTCTCATTTTCGCTGAGGGTCATGCTCAGTGTCAGGTCTGCAAGGGGGCACATAGGAGGGGGTCCCACAAGGGGGCACATACCCACTACAGCTCAGTTGCAGAACACTGGGGGCAGCAGGGGCCTCAGCCTAGCACCCCAAACCCCAAGAGCATAATGCTGATGGGAACTCTGCTGGAGAAACATGGATTTTTCCTACAACTATAGCTTTCAAATTTCTTTTTAGTGTAATCCATGATAGCAAATACACTTTGCACTGCAACTCAGTACACATGTATATACAAGGGGACAAAGATTTGTTAAAGGAACATTTATCTTTCCCATCCTTCTAATACTCTGTTCTTTTCTATGCCTTTCCAAAAAGCTAGTCCAATCCTGCATTATTAATTTCATGAGTTATTAATGGTTGGCAGCCTTTAGCATGAGAAATACTACTCTGAAGCCCACACTACAATAAACACACCACTGGCACCACAGAAAAGCAGGCTTAACAGCACACTGTCATCATGACCAGCCCCGCTGAGAGCTCACTGTGTTTGTATATGTGTTACTGTCATTTCAATTAAAATCCTAAAATTGCTATAGGCCATTAATACCAACTCTGTGCTCCCAGGATTCTAGTGGATACAAAACAATAATTTTATTGGATTCATCTTAACTTCGAATTTGGTGTTGATTTTAAACAGCACATGTTGGACGGCTCAATTTTCATTCCTAGCTAAGTAGTTATTTTCTAAGTTTCAACAAACATTTTTGTTCAATGAAGTTTGGTTTAAATCAAGGAAATCGATATAACTGCATGATGGAGTTTCTCCTGTTAGTAACAGTAGTTCAAAGGCTGGAACCATTTCCAGGATAAAAAAAATGGGGTTTGAAAGCTGAAACTTGTGCCTTCCCTAATAGATCCAGACCCTCTGTTCTATGAGGGAAGCTTAAAGCCCTCCTTTCACAGCTGGACGGCCTCCCGCCTCGTTACTCGGTGCACCTATCCCGTTGCTCAGGCGCAGGCAGGCCCTGCGCACGACCCCGGACTCGCTCCCGTGCCCGCGCGCACACCCAGGCCGCGCGGCATCTGCGGCGCAGACAGCGGACCCAGGATGCTGGAAGATTGCAGCCGGCCCGCGCCGCTCCCCGCTCTCCTTCCCCAAATCAAAACCCACCGTAAACACCGCGAAGAGCCAGGAAACCTCATGGCTTTAATCACTTCCATCCCCCAAGCTCCATGTGGCGCACAGGACACGTCGTTTCGAGAGGGGTGCGGAGGCTGCAGAGAAGGCACCAGCCCCGCCGCGGGGCGGACCCCAGCGCCTCCAGCACGGCCGGGGCTGGGCGCTTGGCGCCACCTGGCTTTTTACAGCAGAACGAGTGCCGGGAGGTCAAGGAGGTTTGGCGAGGGGCCGCGCACTCCCTTCCCTCTCGGGCTCCAAGGAGGGAGAGAAGCCCGGCAGCGCCTTCCACTTCAAAGTCCCAGGGGCAGCGGGCAGCTGGCAGCCGCACGCGCGGCGGAAGGACAGGCAATTACCCTCCCGGGAATCGACCAGCCAGGAACCTCCCTCGCTACTGACGTTAGGAGAGCGGCTTCCACATGTAAGGCAAGTCCAAAGTGCAGAAGTGACGAGAAATAAGCACCGGTCAGTTTATGCACTGATCGGCCCTGGCTGGTTTTACCAGTCACTGTTTTGTGCAAACTTCCTACACCAATGTGGGAAAAGAAAGACGACAGGAGAAAGGGTACCCTAGGGCTCTGATCGCCACTCAGCTGCAGCTCTGGAAAGGGGACAGGTTGTTAAATGAACCCCTAGGCCTCGGTTTGTTCGCATGCAAAACGGGGAAATCGGGTTCAGTAACTGCTCCAAGCGACCGACGTGAAAACAAGAGGAAAGTAATTTCAACATTACCGCTTTAGTAGAAAAGTACAATAGTCATGGTAAAAATTCTAATGGACTCTAATACCTGTTCGGCGCTCTATATAATGGGCACTGTTTGTGTTTGTGTGCATGGATGTAATGAGTTCACAGAAGGAGTGTTAACTGGACAACACTGCTACTAAAATGCTTTATTGAGAACCCGGACTAGTAATGGAAAGTAATTCTCTATCCACCTATTTCAGCAGGCCTTTTAAAGGGGAGGAGCTAGAGACAGTTATGTCTGTAAAGTGCTTTCCATGTAACCATGCAGGTGCACAAAGAGCCTTGGATGTATGTAATATACACATGGCAGGTGCATGTATGGGAATGTGTACATGCGCGGGAAACCCAGCTTTGCGTTATTGTAACAATGACTCACTACAGTTTACAGGAGATTCCTGCATTCACCTTTCATTTAATCCTCACGCCCTTAGGGGCTATCATCATTCCCCATTTTACAGCTGAGAAAACTGTGGCTCAGAAGAAATTACTTCCCTCAAATCTTGATAAGAAGTTATAAAACCAAAGCCATTTATTCTGATTCTGGGCCATTCTCATAGTCAGCAAACGTGTGATGGACACCCACTGTCTGCCAGGCCTTAAAGCACTGTGGTCAAGAGATTAAAGATGCATTCTACTGCCCTCAGGAACTCACACCTGGTGGGAAAGAGAGACAAATTACACTCTGGAAAATATGAACTCTGTAATCAGCCTGGGGCTTAGTGAAGGCTCCCAAAAAGGGAAGACATCCAGGCTGCATGTTGAAGCACAAGGAGAATGGCGTCTCCTTGGTGGAGGACGGAGGTGTGCACGCGCAGAGACACGAAGGCAAAAGCAGTGCAGGTGTTCAACACAGTTCAGCAGAGCCGGGAAGGGAACATGGTGAGAAAGATGTTACGCAAGGAGCGTTAAATGCTCAACATCTGGGTTCTCCTGAAGTCTATGGGGAGTGAATGAATCATGTAAAAAATGACAGGATCCAACTGCATGACATGAAGACGACCCTGGCTGCTGTGAGGTCAGGCTGGAGAGCACACTGGACAAAATGGTAAAGGACAGAATGATGCAGGCAAGCTCAATGCCCGTCGTTACTAAGGCAGGAGGTGGGGGCCGGAGAAGAGAAACTGCACTGGAAGGACATTCAGGAGGACCTGGTGACAGCTGCCCGGTTCCCGGCCCAGGCTCCTGGTTGGTGGTGGTGCCACGCACAGAGACCAGGGGAGCAGGCTGTGGGTGTGCAACACGGACTGGAAGTCCACTCCATTTTGAACATGGAGAGAGTTAAAAAGCTAAGCACATCTACTAAGGACGTGACAGTGCCCTCCAGCAAAGAGCTGGGTATTCAGGTCTAGCGCTCCAGGAAGAGGCCTGAGTTGTAGAGAAATGTCACCAGCCTCACCTGAAACCACAGAATGGTTAACAACAATAACAGCAGCTAACGTGCATCTATATCCGGCACCGCGAAAAGTCTTTTTAGTAGAGTCTCTCCTTTAATTCTCATAACAAGCTCAGGAAGTAAGTATCATGATTAAGTACTGTTCAGACAGAGGTTTCCATACAAGAAGAGAAAAGGTTTGGAACAGAGCCTTGAGGATAGGGTTAGGACTGGTAGGAGAGCGCTCTCTACTCTATGGCATAGCTGTAGTTGCAAAGAACAACTTACAGAATCACCCAGACTCAAATGTAGAAGCTGACATCCTTGCTCCAGTCCTGCCCAGGGGAGTGGCTGTCCTGGCTGGGCAGGCCAGTCCCACAGGCCCAAGGTTCCTGCTGAGGGAAACCCCTCAGGCCCCGTGCTATGTAGGGTGCTATAAGCCCCTAGGTTGTCCAGGAGCCTCAGCCTGCAGGTGATGGAGGAAAAGACTGGCTCAGTACAGAGAAACTGCCTCTTGCACTGCATACCATAGGAAACACATCGCAACTGTTCCTCCAAAAAACTCTGGATTCCAGCCAGGCAGCATCCATGAGGCTCACCAAGGTTGACCGGGGCCAGACAAGCAGGAGGGAGACAGTGCCCGGACTTCATGTCCAACATGGCAGACAGTTCCCCAAGTCATTCTCTCACATCAAGGAGGTGCTCCCAAAAAGCACACAAGAGCAGCTTTACTATCTTGTTACTAATAGTGGACAATTCCTTTGTTAGCTCTTCCACCTGCCTCCAATGTTAATAATTTGGGAGTTTGTTGTGTGAGGAGAACGGATCAGTTGAATATTATCCTGAACATTGACTTACAAATTTATTAATTTTTAGTTTGCCTCTTTATTAAGTTTGATCATGAATTTTTACTTCTCTTACATTGAATTCAAGACTCTAAAAACAAGTGAGATTTGCTGCTATATCCTCACTAGAGGAAACATAACCTTGTCCCAAAGGTCCTTGTGGGCTCAGAGTCCACACAATAGGGTTGGTAGGTTTAAAGGAACACAGCACAGGTGACATGGTACTGACTTTGAGTTTTGCTTTAAATTTGCACTCCTGAACCCAAGAATATTATATTCTGGTCCAGTTACCAATATTTTGAATCAGAAAGTGGGGTGAGGGGTGCAGATGGTTGGGCAGCAGAAGGAGATATCCCAAAGACTCGATCCATGCTCACCTACACTCGACAGAGACTGGTAGGTCCCATCTCTGCAGTTACAGTGGAGTACAGCACTGGGCAGGAAGCCATCCCGGGTTATGCAGCTGGGCGACCTGGAGAGATCAGCTCTCTGGGCTCCAGTGTGCTCACCTGCAAGATGAAGAAAAGGAGGCAGCTCTAAAGCACTTTGCAAATTGTTTCACTTTCTTTGAGTACTTAATACAAGAGTAAGCAGGGTGCCAGAGCTGGCTCTGTTGCTTCTCCATCCAGTATGGGAAGGGGGCTCACTCCATGTGGATACATACAACAGCGTCAGAGGATGTAAGAAGAGACATTGGATTTATGAATGAACAGATCACCTAGGTTAAAAGTTAATAATATATCTACATGTGCATATATACACACAAATATAGAATACACACATATAAATTAAAATTAAAATTAAAAAAATAGAGAGAGATATCCAGAGAAACTGACTGGTCAAGATAGGCAGCAGACTGATGGCAAAGTCAGCCGTAAAGTCCAGATTTTCTAACCATCTGTCAGGTAATCTGCCCACTGATCTGGGTGTGTATGTCACATAAGTCACCAGACACTGGAAAATTTGAGAAGATTCAGGTGTAACCAGCTCCAGGTGTGGTGTGCTTCCTTCCACCACCATCAATCGTGCATTAGGAAAAACCAAGTTCTGGCGACAGCATGGACTTCTTTTACATGGGAGCCCCAAGACCGTACCACTGCCTTTAATACTAACCCTACATGTCAATCTGCTGAAGAAGACTATCCCAAGATCATTTCTCAGAGACAAATGATAGGAATGCATTTAATGGAAGCAGCTAAGAGAGAGGCAGTCACTCAGCTCATCCCTGCATGGAGGGCAGCGTGGGGCAGTGAGCTCTGCAGCACCAGCCTGGGACAGAGGGGGCTTCCCCAGCTCCACTGCCTTTTGGGGGTCTCAGCTCCTCTGTAGGAAAACTCACAAGGTGAAATTCGTCTTCAGGGAAACTCACAAGGTGAAACTAGATCATGTTAATGACCCCTAACATTTTTGGGGGGGAGGTAATTAGGTTCATTTATTTATTTATTCTTAGAGGAGGTACTGGGGACTGAACCCGGAACCTCATGCATTCTAAGCTTGCCCTCTACCACTTGAACTATACTCTCCCCCCTGATCCCTAACATTTTGAGATTTTTGTCTTGAGCAATTCCTCAAGAAAACTGCCTGAACTTTGAGCCAACTGTCTCCTGCTTCCCCCTGCTAGGTAATTTAAGAAACCGCGATAGTGGTCTAGATAATAATACAAATAGTAATAGAAAGAGTAATAATACAAATTAGCCGTTAATGGGGAAGAGGCGCTTTGCATCTAAATCTTGTTTAGGCTTAAGTAACAAGCAAACTGAAGCCTAGCTTGCAGGACACTGCCTCCACTTCAGTTCAATGTACATTCTGTGGATATTAAGGTACCCTGTATCTATGGAGCGATGCGCTAAGGCGGAGGGACTCCGCCGGTGCAACTCTACTACACCAAGGAAGCACTTACCAGCAGGAAAACGTGCTTTTGCAGGTAAACGCCAAAAGCGCCCTGGCGCCTCTGCTCTGGGTCCCCTTCCCAGGGGGCCTCGTGGATCCAACCCCGAAGCCGCAAACCGCCTCGTGCGGAGGCAGTACGTCTGGGTAACCCAAGCCCGCGACTCCCTCCCATTTAGGGAGAAAAAAAAAGAGGGGGGTAGGGAATGGGGGGCAGGGATCGACAAAAAAGAGGAAAGTCCTGAGAAACGTGTTTTGGCAGGCCTGGGCCTCGGCGGCTGCCATATGTGCTCCACATTGCGCAGCCCCGGTCTTTGATGTTTCTCTCGAAAGTAAAGACATTATTCTTTCTCAAACTGCGCCGGAGCCAGCCCTGCAGAC